CCAAGGCCAAAGGAAGAGAAATCCCAGATGAACCCTATCCCGGTTCAAACCAAATCTGACACCCTCTTACTAAAACAAGGATATCTTGAGCTATGAGAAAATTATGAAACTGAAACTAGTACCATTGGAAATACAACAAAAAATTAATGAAGTTAGACTCAAGAATCAACTGATTCGAAGTCCGAACGGAAAAGATATCAAGTCCTGAAGTCGAAGGAAGGGAAACCCTATCCCGGTTCGAACCCAATTCTGACACTACCTTACTAAAACTTGAATATCTTGAGCTAAAAGAGGAATACAAAGCTCTAATTAGTACCATTGGAAATCTCATTTCGACATGGTGAATTTAGACTCAAGAACGGACCAATTCAGAGTTAAAACGAGCGAGATATGGCCCGTTGAAGAAAGATGTCTGGAGCAGGAACAGTGGCCGCTGGGGCCCGCCAAAAACCTGAGAGGGCTAGAAAAATGCAGCAGTAAGCCATGGACACCCGCTAAATGGCTGCGGGGGCCCACCAAATGGGGCAGTGGCATGGGCTGGAACCTCAAAAAATGCAGGAATAGTGTTTTTAGTAGTAAATTGAACTTGGAGCGCAGTTTATGAGGTCAAGATGACATTTTTCGGAAAAACACGAAATGGAAACTCCCCCTAAAATCACATTTTCTATGTGACAAAGTTGAGAACGGAATTTATTTCTCAAAGAAAATTTCTAAAATGCCCTTAGATCAGTTTAGGCTCAAAACGGCGAAAATGCAACTTTGCACCAAGCATACATTTGACCCCAAATGCACTTCTAAGCTGAAACGAATATGCACACACAAGTGATTTTGAGCATGCAGGAATGGTCCATGGCTCTCGAAAATGGCCGAGTCAAAATTCGACCCCCCAACAGCCAAAAAGGCGAAAATAAACCTAAAATGAAAACTTTGAAAACTAAAATTAACAAATGACTTCAAATAACCATTTGGCCCTTGGCCACACTTTATACATGACTAATGAGATCCTACGAAAGAATCAAAATGAAATTCCCACACCCAATGCAAACATGGTGAAACAAAAACTTGACATTTTTTAATATTTTCACGAAATCTCATGAAGTTAAAAATTTCATAGGATACAAAATACTTGTTATTGGCCTCTGGTCTTATCTCATACATGTCAAATACATTGCAAAGGGTGTACTTACGTACACATTACATAAATGGAATCAAATATACACATTTTGACAACTGAGGCTACAAGTGGCATTTCAAGCCAACCTTTACAAAAATTAAAGCCTTCAAGTCAACTACCATCCAAGCAATGATGAACATCATGCACCAAGTCTTCATACCTGAAACAGCCCCCCAGTAACTTCGGGGTGAGTAAATAAATTTACTCGTAGAGGATGAGCATGCATCGACTCGATTTCTTTAGAGATTTTTAGGACTAACATGATATAGTTCAAAAAGGTCATGCCACCTAACGTCTATGTCAAGGTGAGACTCAGGAAGCTAATCATGCAATTGAGATAAACTACGGCATACAAGTATACATGCTCAAGTATACTAAGCAATGTTAAAACATGTTATACAACGTACAAGCATACATTTTCAAGTATACTAAACCATATTAAGACAAGTCATGCAATGTCTAAGCATATTTACACAAGTATGCATTTTATCTGAAAATCTCGTAAATCAAGTATATTGACACAAGTATACTAAGCTAATAGGATTGCACACATGACAAGTATACTAAATGAAATTTAAACTCGTGGAGCAAGTATACAAGTTCAAGTATACTGAATTGGATTCAAATATCCAAGTAAGCATTAATTCTAAGCTACAAGTAATCTATGATTAACAACTTGAAATTAAATGCGAAATCAAATAGTGGAAAGACTAGGACATGCGGTCGCTGGACCAAGCAAGTATTTTCGGGTAATTACGACCCACAAGGTACTACCTAGTGTGCACTTATGACTTAGAAGACTCTTGTCTCCATATTAGAGCCAAAGCCTAGCCATCATATAATTTATGTCCTCACAAGCTTTCCAAAATCAACAAGTTCAAAACTTATACAAAATCAAATGCAAGCTACCACATTCTATGCACAAGTAAGGTTGAATCCATACAATTCATGTCCTAGAATTCAAGTCTAAGTAGTATATGACAAGTTATGCCCTCAATATGCAATTTATACACTAAGCAAGAATATTTTACAACAACTAAGCCACATTACCATCCTAAGCCACAAGTACTAAATAAGCTTTAATTTAGTGACTAGCTTCTAAGGTAAACAATTGTAATATTCTAACAAGTTATATACCTGCACAAGATATATGTAAACAAGCCATTCAAGTCAATAATATTCCATATCACGCTAAGTCCAATTACCATGTTAAGGAGCCATAAGTACTAATTCTACATCAAGTTAGTAGCATGCTCACAAGGTAATTAAAATGCCACATTTTAAGAGATTTTCAACCTAATCAAGAAAAGTCTCTAGATTTCAAATCTATTCCAACTAACCTCAAATTAATATATGTTAAACAACATAGTATGCTCATTGCATATATCAAATCAAAAGAGCAAAATGAGCAAGACATCATCATGTTCATTTTAATTAATTTAAATTAATTAAATCTCTAATTTTTCAAAAGTTGTTCAAATGATCCCAATTAAATATATAACAAGGACTAAGTCACGGCCATGCCATATATCAAGTCAAAAATAGAAAACAAGCAAGGTATAATTAAATAGAATTTAAATCTCTAGATTTGAAAACTAATTCAAATGGCTCCAATTAATTATATAACAAGGATCAAGTGAAGGCCATACCATATACTAAGTAAAAAACGAGTTATATGTAAGTTACAACAATCATTAATTTCTCAAATTAACATTTAAACATGCATACAACTTGTATTTCACACAAAAGCAAGTAAGATCACTTAAAAAAAATAAATTATAACACCCGCTACCTCACTAGAGAAGAGTCTCTCAAGAATCTAAGGCAAATCAACACAAAATGGCAAACCCTTCAAGGGTTATGTAGAGGAGGATGAGGGGAACAAAAAATGTTCCAAGCTTCATGGTCTAAGGTGAGTGGAAGGCCCTCAAAAATCAAGGTCAAGGCCTAAGGCTTCAAGCTCCATCCATGGAGGCTAGGGTTCTAATGAGGAAGAAAATTACATAATGTGAAAATAGGTGAGTGGAAGAAATAGAAATCCTCCACTCACTATGTGTTCCTACACCATGGTCAAAACACACACATCTATAGTCAATTGCACAAAAACCCCTCTTTAAAACTATAATCCCAAAGTGGCCCAAAAATAAATTGCAAGACTTAATTGTGAGCATACACTTGTCACAAATCCAAGGCTCTATCCTAGGCTTAATATCAATCCTACACTTGTCAACCATCCAAGCCAACAAATGCATCAATCCTAGGCCAACAAGTGGTTAAATCTCCACCCTCCACATGTCCTCATCCAAGGCATCAAAGTGTCCCCACACAAATGTCAACAAGTGGACCAATGAGAGTGTGACACTTGTTACACTTTTCAGAAATTGCAAAAAGGTCCTTTTAAAAAATATCTTCCAAAACAAATTGCATAATGGTCCCCAAGACGAAAAATAATTACTTTATAGTAATTACACAAATGACCCCAAAAGTTAGGAAAATTACAAAAAGGTTATGCGTCTATACCCTTTACAAGAAAAGTAAGCACTTAGCATGCTTTTCTACAAAAGTGAAAACACACATAGTATTGAATTTAAATATCGTGGATGCATGCAAAACCGAAATCAAATCCGAACATGAAAAGTGAGGTTATGCCAACAAAGTGACAACCGAGAAAAAAAGAAAGGCAAATAGTGTCCCAAAAGTGAAAACGTGAAAATGACTCAGTCCTCAAAGGAAGTCGTTAATCCACTGAAAAGAGTCTCGGAAACCATCCCCGAGCAATGAAGATGACACTGAGTGACAAGAAACAGAACTCAGAAAGGAAAAGATCAACGGGAAAAAAATATCCGTGAAGATCCGAGAAAAGGAAATGAATGAAAATGACCGGGTCATTACAGACTGGCCTTTATCTTGTTTATTTCCCAGATTATACAATATTGTAGTTGATAGACATGCCTACATAGCAGACTGTTATCGACTTAATAGTAATGGGATTACGTGGGACGTGCAATTTTGACGCTCTTTTTAGGATTGGAAGGTGGACGAGGTATGTATTTTTCTGGATCTGTTGTATCGACAGGAGATAATTGGCAGAGGTTGTGATGATATGACATGGATTCCCTCTTCCCATGATCGCTTTGAAGTTCGATCCTTATTCTTATGTCTACCTGATTTTGATATCGTTGATTTTCCGTGTAAGACTATCTGGCACTTTATGGCTCCAACTAGGGTGGCATTCTTTGTTTAAACCGCTGTATGGAGTAAGATCCTGACGATTGATAATCTAAGCAAAATGGGTAACTGTCTTGTTAACTGGTGTTGCCTTTACAAACAAGATGATGAGTTAGTTGCTCATATTCTCATGCATTGTCCTGTAGTAAGGGATTGTTGGAATCTTATTTTTTATCTGTTTGATATGCGTTGGGTTATGCCTTGTTATCCTAAGGATTTGATTCGTATTTGGAGAGGATGTCCCGTGCATAGTGCTGTTCGCGATTATTGGAGAGTGATTTTATATTGTGTTTGGTGGTGCATTTGGAAGGAGAGGAATAGTAAAATGTTTGAAGGGAAAGGATCGTGCACGGCGATTATGAAACTCCATAATATAAGCTCTCTTTTCAGTTATGTGAGAGGAAGTCATGTTCCTCTTCTGAAGTTTTAATTATTTTTTCGGCTTCTTTGGGGCCTTAAACCCAGGTTCCACTTTTGTATAAGGGATGTGTTCCCCTATTGAACGCCTTTTTAATTCAATTATTACTTAAAAAAATAAATAAAATAGAAAGAAGATATCACCATTGGTTAATATCCAAGGTGGTCTGTGGTCTATAAATAACACTCTCTCATAATGAATGAGGCAGGACTACAAGACAGAATTAAAACTCTATCACAATGATTGCATATTCTCCCTACCTCCATCTAAATTTATTGAGATCGGTCTCCTTCTCCTCCTTCATCAAGCACCTTCATATTTGTGTTTAAGATATCACCTTTATATCTTTATTTTATTGTGATACCAAAACGAACCACAAACAACAAGCTGCAAATGAGGAATGGGTATAAGTAATGGATCAATTATTTTGTCAAGGCCCTAGAGGAAGCCAATAGTCATGCCACATAGAAATACATTTCCCATCTCCTATATTAATGTGCTTAAGAAATGGCCTAGCCAGTCCTCTGTGCTTGAGAATCATCCCCCCCAATTCCAGGAGACGGCTTGATGCTCCAAAAACTTTTATCTTTGATAAGAATAATATGCACCCAGTCATGCCAAATTGATTGCCCATTATCCTCAAAAAAATTCCGAACATGCCTAAGAATAGAAATTCTATTAAGGGTGGCAATGTTAGGAATACCTAAAGCCACCACATTCTTTAGGTCTGTAAATAAAGCTCCAATTGACTTTAGCTCTGGTGGGCTTGAGCTCATTGCCTATATTATTATTATTTGTTTTTTTTTTAAATTTTTTTTGGGAAAGGAATAGGTGAGAAAAGTTTTGATTCTAGCTAGTTGCATTGATGGTTAGCTACTCGAAGTAAAATTAGAACCACACCATTGCCGTCTAATGAGACTATAGAGTATGATGTAAGACATTAGGCGTGTCTCATCCTGAAGAAGAATCCTCTAACATTAAACTCAGTAATGTTATTGGAGAAGAAGTCCAGTTTACGAACGAACATCATCGAAAAGGAGGGTTTCTCCGGTATGACCAACGAGTTCTTTTTTAAGGATCTTGACGAATCCTTGTAGAATGGCGTCGAGTTCGTTAAAATTATTAAGAAGCTCACCTTTCTGTCACTTACCTTGATCTGTTTGATCCCACTAGCGAAGCCAATCAAGAGCATTTCCTTGCAGGGTTGCTGCAATATAAAAAAGCTTTGCATCCAGATCTGTCTCACTGTTGACTGGGAAAAAGATTTTTCTTTAGATCAAATACATTATTTTCTTAAACTTGCCTAGTTTGTTGGAGAACATGGTTTTCCAAAAAAAACTTTTGCAAAAATCAATCGAATATGTGACGACCCTAGATTTTTCAACCTAGTGTGTCCTGTGATGAACCAAAAGAATGACCCGATAATGGATTCGAAATGCGGAAACGAAGGAAACTAAGTGGCCACTGGAGATGTACGTCATCCCTAAGGCATCAAAATGACTCCCCATAGCATGATCAAATTGCATTATCTGCTATTGTGTGATGATGTGAACATACACGCAAGTGTAAAATGGTATTTTAAACATGCTACAATGGCCCATGGCCTTATTACAACTCATTTACAACATTTGACATGTCAGACCTCCAAGTTAGAAAAATTACATTTCATAGACAAATCATGAACATGCTAACACTTGCATGTGAACAAGAATGTTTCTAAAGAAGCTCAACTCAGCAAATCACCCAAGCAATTGCAATCTCCAATCTTGTATCCTGTACTTGAAATATGCCCCAGTATCGTAGGGGTGAGTAACATAAAGCTACTCGTAGGAAATGAGCATGCATCGACCTACGTTTTACAAGTGTACATGATTTAATCATTATAGTTCATTCCACCGAACGTCTATGTCAAAGGTGAGACTCAAGGAGCATCCTAGCTATGTAAGATCATTTCTAGTATAAAACACATCCTTTATGCAATTTCAACAACACAAGAGCATGCTACACATAGCAACAAGATATAACATACTTACACAAAGCAACTAGCTAGAAACATGCTTATACAAAGCAACTAGCTAAAAACATGCTTACACAAAGCAACCAGATAGAAACATACTTACACAAAGTAACTAGATATAGATTCTGAAAGTTATCAACTTGAAATCTAAATGCTAAATCAACTAAATATAGCAATTTAGTATGAATATACTTAACAACATCAAATCGCCAATAGCCAAAACCAAAGTCACAATATAAACATGATTGATAACTTGGAATTAAATGCGAAAACAAATAGTGGAAGACTTGGACATCACGTCTCGGACTAAACCAAGAACAAATTGGTTATTCCAGGCATTAACCCGCTGGGAAGACCACCCTAGTGCGCACTATCTCAATTGGGGAGAACTCATACCTCCCGCACTAAAGCCGAACTTTAGCCATATCACAGTAACAATGTCCCAAGACTCCAAAATAATCAAATAAGTTCATAACTTATACGTAATTTATATAATGCACTAAGTTACCTTCCATGCACAAGTAGATTGTATCCACAACACATGCTCTAAATCCACAACTACTATAGGATGACAATGTCGAATCTTCAAAGTGCGATTCGTTACACGCTATAATAATATAATCCAATATTGAAAACATAAACTCATAAATTCATTATAAGTCAAACGTCATGCTTTAAACATACTATCAATGTTAAATACATGAGTTAATCAATAATACCATAGAAACGGAATTTAATCTATAAACTAATTAAATTTCTTAGGTTTCAAATCTCAATCAAATGGCTTCCAATTAATACATGATAAACAATATAGCATGGTCATTACATACACCACATCAAAACTCAATTAGGCCATAAGAACAATAAAGTGAAATTTAATTAAATCATGATAATCAAATCCCTAACTTCTAAAACAACATCAAATGATTCCAAATTAACATATGCTAGAACATAAGTCATAGTTATCACAAATATCAAGTTAAACCCTTAATTAGGCCAATGGAACCCTTAATTAGATTTTAATTAATCATTTTAATTAAAATCTCTAGATTTTCATACTTGTCCAAATGTTCTCAAATTAAAGTATGTTAAACAACATGCCAAGACATAATTTAAAAGCATATCACAAGTCAATTTCATGCAAGGTACGGCCATGGGATTTAATCTTTCACAAAAGATAAATATTAAATAAAATATGCAATTTTTATTCAATCAATACCAATTTAATATATGTTAACAAACATATTAAAACATGATTTTCTAGCATGCCACAATTCAAATCAAAGTTATATATCATCATGAATTTTAAATCTTATACAAAGAAATAAAAATTACCAACTTTCTAAATTTGATACAAGGTATACATATAAGTTGTATAATCATGAGAAACAATCAATACAACATATATAAATCCTAAAACATTTCCTACCTCAATTGGAATGAAAATCCCAATTACCACCAAAATGAAATCACCCTAAATTTTTGGTCTGCAAGATAGATATTTCAGCTTGTTACCTTAAACTTGGGAAATTCATAAAAAACTCAATTCTAATCCAAATTGAATGAATCCAAAACCCAATGAAAGCTTAAACACTGTAATTTGATAATATCAATTTAGTTTAACAAAATATTTTCCCAATTGAAACAGTTTTGACCCACAACTTTGAAACAAATTCTGCCTAGAAAACACATTTTCAGCCTGTAACTTCCAACTTTGAAAATTCATGAAAAATTCATTTGACATCCAAATTGGGCAAACCTAATTTATTTTGGAAGTAAACATATGAGAGTGTAAAACTGGAAATTTAAGCCATGATCCAATGTCAAAAGGTTAGTGAAATAAATCATCTAAAAATATGTTTTCCAACTGTAATAAAAACACGGACAACTGATAGTCTCGGATTTTTAAAAAAATTTAGAAATGCTCTAAAAACGTGAAAAAATTCTGAGTAGTGTAGAATCCATGGGGAAAGTTTCAATAAAAATTTCAAGGTAATTGAAGCACCACAGCTCCATATAAAAATTTGTTTCCGGACCGGATAAGAAAAGATTTAAATTTCCAACAATTAACTTGCAACTTCAAAAATTCATAACTAATTCATTTTAAATCCAAATTATATGAAACCAAAACTGAATGGAAGCTAATTGATTATATTTTCATGTTATATATTTAATTTGACAATATTTATTTCAAGTTAAAATAGTTTAAGAAGAATACAAGTCCTTCTCTTCTATGGATGTAAAACACTCAATAATGACATAAAAATACTTCAAAATAATAGATCAATACCTCACTAAAGAATTGAATCCCTAGATACCAAAGCAAAACTAGGAGTTAGGTTAGATCCTTCAAGGGTTTTGAAGAGGAGGATGAGGGGAACAAAAAGTATTCCAAGCTTTATGGTCTAAAGTAAGTGGAAGGGCCTCAAAGATCAAGGTTAATGCCTAAAGCTTCAAGCTTCATCCATGGAGGCTAGGGTTTTGTGGTGAGGAAAAAAGAGATGAAATGTGAAAATGTGTGAGTGGAGGAAATAGAAATCCTCCACTCACTATGTGATCCTACACCATGGTCAACACACACATCTATGGTCAATTGCACAAAAACCCTCCTTTAAAATCATAATCCCAAAGTGGCCCAAAGATATTTGCAAAACTAAATTGTGAACCTACATTTGTCACCAATTCATGGCTCCTTCCTAGGCTTAATCCTACACCTACACTTGTTAACCATCCAAGCCAACAAGTGCACCAATTCTAGACCAACAAGTGGGTGAATCGTCACCCTCCAAATGTCATCATCCAATACATCAAAGTGTTTCCACACAAATGTTAACAAGTGGACCAATGAGAGTGTGACACTTGTCACACTTTTCAAAAATTGCAAATAGGCTCTTTTTGAAAATATCTTCCAAATTTAATTACAAAATGGTCCCCACGATGAAAAATAATTACTTTATTTAATTACACTAAAACCCCACAAGTTAAGAAGAATTACACTAAAGTATGCATTAATGCCCCTTTTATGAAGGAAGTAAGCAATCAACATGCTTTTCTAGAAAAATAAAAATACCACTATCATGGAAATCAAATATCATGAATGCATGCAAAATCGGAATCAAATCCGAGCACAAAAAGTGAGGTTGTGAAAAGGAAAAAGGATAAACGAGAAAAAGACAAAATGTGAATAGTATTCGGAAAAATAAAATATGGAAATGACACAATCCCCAAAGGAAGTTGTCAATCTAAGGAAAAGAGTCTCGGAAATCATTCCAGAGCACTCGAGACGACATCAAGTGATGAAAAACCGAACCCAAAAAGGAAAAGACAACGGAAAAAAATTATCCGTGAAAATCCGGATTATTACAGAATATGTCTTCTTGAAAAAGCAAGAAACATGTTTTCTCCCGAATTGTTTAGAATAATTCTCTCCAAAATAGATGATCATTCTACAACAATTAAAAACTTTTATCTAGAAAATGATGAAGAGATAAATCATTTCGACATGATTTACAACAATAAAAAGATTTCAAAAATGACTCTTTTCATTGTACCCGGTTTTGACTGGTCAATGGAACCTGTCGATTGGGGAGTAATTAACAAAATTACTTTCTCCTCATATGATTGTATGTCATGGAATGCTTTCCCTGCCATGATCAAAGCCATGATATACAAAACAAGCTCACTGGAAATTCAGCTGCAATTTAACTTTCTGGATTTCTAGTACTATTGGATGGCGAGAAAAAACAAAATTTTTCCATCCTTATCAAATTTGGCTTCTCAAACTTACAGAAGATAGCGAATTCGAACATCACCAATTTTTGAATTCTCAGCAGATCGCAAAAAGGATTAACCCCTTTGATCTAGCTATCAACAGTCTTATCCACCTCCAAGACAAGGCTCGTTGAGTTCTACAAGATGATTCTTTAGAACCTCCATTTAAATACATCTATGATGGAAGAAGACTATTCGTCACAACGCTGCCTATGAACTACCCAACATATTTAGCAGAACAGTTAATCGAAGCTACTGAATTTCTGAAAACAATTCAGTGCAATACATTGCAAGCTCCAGAAGAAATCTTATTTGGAGCAGAATAGGCAAACATCGACTGGGACGCTACTTTTGGTCAAAGTCCAGTCAACGGTAAACCAGATTGGTGCAGGTATGAACTTTTTAATTGATATGGTTAATGAATGGAAATACAAATTCCAGCTTAGCCTTGACTCAACAAATTGGAAACATGTGAGAGCATTGGTACGAAAGGGAAAGAAATAAAGACAACTTGATTTTGGGATGATTTGTTTCTAGTTTGCATAAACATGCACATCATGGTGGTATACGTCTGCTATTCTAATAATGTTTTGGATACAGTTATACTTGAAAGAGATGGAATTACAATACTTGTGCCACATGTATATACTCATATATTTATTGTTTTTTGCATAAAGAGATGGTACTGGAATCATATGTAATCCTATATATATATAGTTATATAATTCATATGACCTTATATATAGTATCATCCATTTTCGTAGAATTAACGATTAAGAACTATGTTGGAAAGTCTAGCGTTTTAATCAGTCAACCACACTTATTTTTACAACACGTACAATCAGCAACTTATAACAAAGTGCCAAAGTTTTCTAGCCTAACTGGTAAGATGCCTCCCGTTGGCTCAGAAAAAAACATATAACAATGTTAATTTCACACCTAAACAAGCAATGAAAAACAAACACAAACATGTCCACAATTCAAACACTGTAACTACTTTTAAAGCTACCATATATCGACCTAGATTCCTCATCATCTTCCACGCGAATGTTTATCAGAATTCCTTACCGAAGCTCTGACTTGGATTCCTCATCATCTTCCACCATATACCTCAGATAGGAATGATTATCAGAATTCCTAACGGAGCAATTTGCACGAACTTCTCCTTTTCTGCCCGTCAACACGCTCAACTGCCCCATCTTTATCATGGAAAGAACAAACTGGTCGAAGAAAAGGGTCTGATCATCAGCGAAGCTGGTGACAAAGTCCCGAGTCCTACTGTCCATGTACAAGTCTTGGTCGGACGTGAAGAGGCCTTGCCGGTTCACGAGTCCAATGTAGTACTTGTTGTCGAATTTGTTTGGAGTTCGGATGTCCATCACGGTGGTGGTGTTGGTATTTTCAGTGGGACAAATGCCTTTGAGGTCCTCAGCTAAGGAATCGTCCATGGTTGGGTCCTGGTTGGGGTAGAGCCTAGCAGTGAAAGAGTTGCAGTGGCTGAGTCCGATGGTGTGGCCACCGGAGAGGGCTACGAGGTCAGTGGCATCCAATTTCTTGGTTGCAAAAAAGGTGATGAGGGCACTGGTGTTGTCGCTTGGTGGGGGGAGATTGGCTCGTGTGGCATTTATTGTTGCAAAGTTGAGACCGTCCCGCCTTCCCAAGGGAACATCATAGTAAGGGCCATGGGACTGCAAACCAAAATTTATAAAATATTGTTAATTAATGCAGTTGATAGATCAGTGTGGCTTGCTTAATTATATGAATATATAATTATAAGGTGGTTAGATTGTGTGGCCTTCTTGAAGTCATCTTAAATTGATCTATTAAAGAAACATAAAGTCAAAAAAATTTAGCTAGGTTTACCAAGTAAACAGCATCACGAGCAGCAAGGGCGGTGATATCAGCGCAGGAGACGACCCTTCCACACTCTTTGTGCACAAGCTCACGGAGGTCCTCAATTACCTTAAACGCCCCAGCCCTCAAACTCAAGTTGGGAGGTGCCGCTTTCTCACTTGGACCACTTGCCGACCCATCAAGCAAAACAGAACCATCGCACCCCTGTCATCATCGTATACACAACAACATTACATTATATTATATCTATATATAAAAGGAGAGAAAAATGGTACCCTCACAATAAACAAGTCAAACACTTGTGATAAACCTTTTATTACCAAAAATATCAATGTCCCTTATATACTTAACATAGCACACATCACATGACAAACAACCTAATCCCTTCAACAAATGGTTTTTAATATTTCTCTTATCTATTGTTTCTTGTCAAAGATTGAAGTTTACGACGTAATTTGGTGGTTAATCCATTAAATAATTGAGTATTCCATTGGATCTACAATATTATATTATAAATTTGTCCTCCAGGAGGTTGCATGGATCTACCACACCCAAATTCGCAACCACGTGCAGCAATTTAGTATTAAAAAAATAAAAATGCCATCGGAATTCAATCGATTTTAAGCACAAATTTGAGTAGTTGTTGAGATCAATTCAATTCCCAATCTAATGTTTGATTGATTACTTAGACATAGGGTCATGGTAATTTTGCTGTGAATTGATTACGATACAACTAACATGTATAAATTATGATCTACTAGAAGCTTATTATTAAAGCATTGCAACGTACAAGAAGAAAGTAAAGCAGTTAGTTTATGGTTTACAGATCGAGCAAATTAGAACAAATTCCATTCCAACATTAATTAGCTTCTTCTTTTCATGTCAATTTAGCAAATTAAAGAGTTTTGATGAGATATATGAAATGGGGTTGTGTACTAGCTAGTTTACAAACATTTCAAAAAATGGAAATTAATGGCCAATATATATACCTACAGCCAATTTCACCCAATTTTCATAACTAATTAGCTACTTCAGAACATTTCACAGACCAAACTACCCTTAAATCTCTAAATGTGAAATGAGTGGCCTGTATAACACTAGCTATCTATCTAAGTAAACAGCATACTCCAAATCTGAGAATATATATATATATATATATATATGGAGAAATACCTTAACAAAGCAGTCATGGAAGTGGAGGCGAAGCAAGCCGGCAGCTAAGCCAACATCCTCCTTGAACACCTTCCTGAGGTGTTTTCTTACAATGGTTTCCACTTTTGGACATCTTGAATCGTGAAAATTCCAGGATAGTCCCTTTACCACAGGGGCAGAGAAATGATCAGCCTCTGAGAGAGACGCCAACAATAATATTGTTGCAGATATAACCAAAACCAAATAAGTAGTAAATGAAGAAGAAGAAGAAGCCATGTTTGCTAACAGCTTTCTCAATTTTTTGTTATCCAACAAATACACCAAAGCAAGAGGCTTATATATATTATATATTATAGGGAAAGGGATCGACCATTGACCTCAAAAATAAGCATGGACCTTCAAAATAAATAATATTTATATATGCCTGTAGCCATGGAGTACTTTCTGTGAAGCCACACCATAAACTTGAAATTTTCAACTTTATTGGGTTTTAGGTAAAGTCTTTGCTAATGTGTTCAAAAGTCTTTGCTAATGAAGATTTTTATGATGGGTTAGGAAGGAAAAGAAAAACAAGATAACAACGAAAAGACACCACCAACACATTTAACATGGGCTTTAGGCAAGGGAAACGATAGTTACACCGGAGTCATGCGAGATGTTACAGTTTAGGTGACATAAATCATAATTTTTTATTAATTTATTTATTCATTTTTACTGTTCACATTCCTATACCGTCAATGCCATTCCTAATTTCTCAGATAAAGTTTCTCATCATTCCCAATTTTTCTCTCTTGCACAAAATAAAAAATAGTTTCTCTGCCATCCCCAATTTTTCTCTCTTGCACAAAATAGAATCTAATTTTTAAACAATATTTTTTTTTTCCTCCGATTTGACGTGATTTACAACAATTTCAAATGTTTTGACAATTTATAATAAACTTTTGATGATTTGCGACTTTTGACGATTTACAGAGTACATCTGGTAAATCAAATATATATATATATATATATATATATATATATAAATCAAATATTTATATATATATATATATATATATATATATATATTTGATTTACCAGAGGTACTCAATAACTTCAAATTGTCAAAAAAGTACAAATCGTCAAAAGCTTGTTGATTGACGTCAAAATATTTAGAGTTGTTGCATATCACATCGAATCAAAGGAAGAAAAAAAAAATACCGAAAAATTGAGGATGATAAGAGAAACTTCGTCTGAGAAATTGGGGAGGCTTCTAAAATTAAGGATGGTAAATAGTAAAAGTGAATAAGTAGATTAGTAAAAATCACGCGCAAGCCGCCACATCATTATGCTTAATAATTCGATGTATAAATTCGGTGTAACTATCATTACTCTTTAAATAAAGTCTTGTTAATATGAAAAATTTATTAATGTGTTAAGATAAATACTCCTAACCCATTAATTAACACATGTAACATGGGGCATAAGAGTACTTCCGTAATAAATATGGATAGGATGGAATCTGACTTTTCTCGCAAACCAGCCAATGTGGACTTCATTTTTCGTGATTGAATAGATCATTGCCTTGACAAAAACAAAAAAAGATATAGACATTGCCAATTAATGTGAAAATGATACGGAGGGCTATCTCCTAGAAAATAATATTCTCTTTTTTGTTCTGTTTCAGTTTATATTAACCAATTTTAATTAATGCCTCATCATGATCTATTTATGAGGTATAGAAATAATGGTTAATCATTTATAGTTAATATATCCGGTCTGCTTGTCACAGACAGAGAGTGATTGGGATTTAAAAAGAATATCAGAAAATAAAAATAAAAAATGAATTAAATTAAAAATAAGTAAAAAGAATTATATAAGGCAAAGTACCTTATTTCACTAAATGGGTGATGTCCAATGAAAAGAAAGCTATTGCCAGGTCCTATATGATTTCATATTGTGGAGCTAGCTCCTTATCTATTCATTTTAAATGTAAAATTCAAAAGTATTGATCTAACATTCTTTTTATTATGTGAAAAAATATATGGGACTTTAATCTAAATGGACCGCCTTTAATTTATATACTCTCTCTACCTTATATTAGTATTTCTATCTTTAGTTTATAACTTTTTAAGCAATGGGTCATTATTTTATTGTTTTATTTTTGAATTATTAAATTATTCTTTAAACTTTAAATATTATAATAAGAAGTTAGGTAATTATTTTATTTCATTTTTCAAAATGAACAATTAATTTTGTTGATTTAGAATATTCAACAAAGGAAAAGTAATTAAACTATTAATATGGAACATATACAGTAATAAGATAATAAGAATAATTACATGGGTCCATTAAAATTTTAAAATCACAAGTCAATTAATTAGTCATTGTTAATTCATTGATGATTATTGTATATTTGAATTTCAAAAACAGACCTTGCTATATATAAGCAGTAGCAACATCTAGTAAAAAGTAAAAACTAAGAATACTAATAAAATAAGAAAAATGATAAGATCACCCAATTATTTCCTCGAATAAGTCCCGAATCTGACATATTTTTATCCACCTCATGTATTTAAATAGTTTTCAAAAAATAATTATTTAACGCGTGATAAATATAGCCAACCACGTTAAATTCGGTGTTAATTCAGAAATTCCTTTTCGATTCTCTTATCATTATTCATAAAATAGTAATAATAATAAAATGAAGCTTAAAGATTCTTGAGATGGTTTAATAAGTCAATTACTTTTAGGTTACGATTACCCATAAAGTTTCGGTCGATAGATTAATATTCTCTCTATCCCAATTTAGATGACGCTTTTGGGGAGTAGGAATTTTTAAGAGAATATGTAAGACATGCCTTGTCTCCTTGAAAAGTTACTAATTTGCCCTTATATTCAAGTTTGAAATTTTAAACTCCAAACACATATATGAAAAAAATGTAAAATATATTGTTTGAAAAAGAAAAGTGTACAATTATTTTAGGATAGATTTAAAAGAAAAGTATAACACCTATTTTAGGACAGAGGGAGTAATAACTTTAGTATGACTTTTTTAGCGAAGTAGGAACTATAAGTTACTGTATTGTTCTAGGTTGGTCAAAAGTAGGTATTATAAGTTACTGTATTGTTCTAGGTTGGTCAAAGACTTGCATGACATGTTTTTGAAAGTAGCCCACGTTTTGTCTTTATTTTGGCAAGTTGGAGGATACTTGAAAGAGTAATGCTATTGCGAGTGTGCGCTCGCAATAGCACTAACGAGCTCTCCATTCTAGCCACAAGATTTGTGTGCATTGAGATTCGAACAAAAACAAACAAAAAGTAATTCAATGCACAATACTTTTCTCTCTCCTCTCTCTTTTTCTCTCACAATTGTTTTCTCTCTCTTATCTTTTCTCTCCTCTTTCTTATTCAATCAGTGGCTCACCACAAAGCTGTTCTTAGCAGTGGCCGAGGTTTGTCCTCGCCAATCACCTCTCTAAAACAGAAAGATCTCTCTCTAAAAAAATTTACTGCAAATCTTTTTTTTTTTCTTTTCTTCTTTCTTTCTTTCTGCCTCCATCTCTAAAGCCAATTTCGTGTTTAAGAAATATGAGGATGGCAAAATTCAATTCAACAAAAAGGTACTCAAAAATCAGAACCAGACAATTGAATCGTCGCCGGAAAATTGCCCGGACGTTAATTCCGGCGAATTACCTTAGTTCGGATTTCAACGAGCTTTGCCAGATTTATGGAAACTAGGGACAGTATGATTATAGCTTCGCCGCTGCGGTGCAAGACTTGCCTTTTCTCTCTCTCTAGACTCTTATCTATCTTAAATAAAGTAAAGTAAACGCAACAACTCCCCCACTTTCATTGTATGCTCTGCTCATCTCCTCCTTACTGTCCATCCTCTTTTCTCTCTCTACATAAATTATTATCCATCTATCAACAAAGCAACCCAAAATCATAAAGAATTAAGCAAGAAACAACATCTCTCATGGATGTTAAAGCATGACATCTCAACTTCTTTCCTCCTCAACTCATCACAAACAGGTTTGTTTTTATTTTATACTTCTATATATGTATCACTCTATATCTATATATATAATATATGTTATTGATTTCTGTTTCTCTCTATTTTCTCTCACATGGAGTTTTTTTTTTTTTTTTTTTTTTTTGCAGAGATTTTATCAAAACATGTGAGGCAAACACAAATATATATAATACTCAGATTGGTTCTGTAGTTCCTTTCGCCGGAACAATGCCAGAAACAATCTTACCGGCTTTCCATCAATATTCTCTGGGATGTGATATAGTTCTGGCAAAAACGTCGATGAAGGCTGATAGTTGACTCAACTACAATCTTCCTACTCCAAAGAATTGTTCCAAAGATTCAATGAACATTGATTGACTAAGAGAGAGGAAATGTTCGGCGTCTACAAGAGGAGAGAGAAAAGACACAAAGAAAGCAATTGTGAGAGAAAAAGAAAGAGGAGAGAGAAAAGTATTGTGGCATAAATTACTTTTTGTTTGTTTTTGTTAGAATCTCAATGCACACAAATCGTGTGGCTAGAATGGGAGAGCTCGTCAGTGCTATTGCGAGCGCGCGCTCGCAATAGCATTACTGTACTTGAAATGTCACTATTTGAGTGAAGTGGACGAATTGGGAGCCATGATATTTTGTTGATTTACGTTTTAGGGTTTGGATCCACACCTGTAAGTCACCTACTATAATAAAAAAACGTGGCGTTTTGGTTAGCTGAAAATCGTGACAGTTCAATTTGTGAGAGTCACAACTCCTTAAAAGTAACACTTTTTATGAGACGAAGGCTGTATTATTTTCAACATCCCAAATAAATATTCTTTTTTTTATATTTTTGACTCAATCAAAATAAATACTCCAATTGAAAAGTTAAAATACTAGGCATGGTAACATTATCAATTCTTGCGTTGAACTTATAAAAAAAACAATAATTACATTCATGTAAACCAACTATGAATAGATTTAATAATTCATTTACTAGTAATCAAAATAAATGTCTGAATTGAAAAGTCAAAGTATTATGTATTGTAACGTTACTAATTCTTAAATTGAACTTAGAGAATCTTTAGCAGTATGTTAAAACACTTTTTTTTTTTTTATGTAAAATATACACTGTCACGTATGATGTGTAAATTTTTTTATCATCAACAGTCTTTTAATATGCATGTTGAAAAGTATTTACTTCATCTGACATTTAAGATATAACTACCCTTATACTAATATTGCATGAGATAATTAATAATATACTAAAAATAATGAATTAAATATGTAATTCGAGATTTAAATAAACATTCAAATTAAAATTATAAAATAATAAAAATACATAAGCACCTAGACTAGGGCTAATAATGATACTATGTCCTTAAGACAATTTATGTCCTACATGGTATTGATGAACTCTATGGCGTTTGTCTCCCAAGATATAACGGTCTACATTCACTAGTAGCAGTACTACAAACTCGTGGATACGGCGAACCTCCTCTGTGTAATACTCTATCTAACTCAAAAATGCATCTATACTATATAAATGCTAAATTGGGTGCAATTTGAACCAAATGGTTTGGACCAATT